CTTCACCTCACTTCTGCACCAAGTACCACCACCATCCTCAAATGTGGCTTAAGAGACTATGACAATGGCCATGGGTTACCAAGTACAGAGACACAAATTTGACTCAGTCTGAGGAGCCATGAGATGAGAAACAACTCCCCAAGGTGCCTTGCAGATTGTGAGGTTCTCCATCAGCGAGGGCATTGCCATCACATCTGGCTGAGATCTGTCACCAACGCTATAAATGGCATTCCTGCAGTGGGTAATGATTTAGCCACGGCAGTGCTAAACAAACTCAGTTCTGTGGACCAGAGTCTGGCTGGCTTCCACCACTCAGAGATTTTAAAAATATAAAGACTCCCCAACTCTAATCTCAGAAACTTTGATTCAGGAGGTTTTGAGAAACCATGGACCCAGGTGATTTCTGAAAGACCGTCTAATACCAAGATTCCATCATGATATTCCTTTCTCTAGCATGGCTTCTGAAGTATCACTCAGCTGTCATTACTGGGCAACACATACACCACGTGGTCCACACCAGACTCAGAGTCAAGGGACAAGAAGCCCAGCTGTTGTCTTGGACTGCCTGTGTTCCTCAGGCAGGTAACACATTTTCAGTCTTAGTGTCCACCTCTTTAAAATGGAAGGAATGGATTATTAGAGCAGTGTTTTTCAAATGTGTTTATTCATTTTTTTTAAAAAAAAAAGTTCAAGCATCTGTGGCCCAAACTGTCCAGGCCTAGCCCACAGACATCATCCCTGCTCTTTGCTGCTAATAGAACACTGACACACTCCTTATCAGGTAGACAGCTCCTGATCTGAACCCGTGGGCTCCTACTCCACACCAGAGGATGAAAGCTGATCGGTCTAAACCTATCACGGTAATGTCAGTCCATGGGGCCAGTGGGCACACAACCCTGTTCTGGCTGTGTATTCTGAGACATGAGGGGAAGTCTACATGGGAGGGGATCCCTCTGTGATTAAAGGAGCAAAGGTTCCTGAAGAAAAATAGTTTTTCCCTTTCATGTCCTGCCACCTTTGCCCTGACTTGAACACAACACATGGAGATGAGCACAGGGAGTTGAGCTCAAGCGCTGAGGATGGTGGAGCACAAAGGAAGCATTGGTCCTTGTGGGCATTGCTCAGTTGCTACAACCATCCTGGACTGTGTAGGTGTGGTCTACATATATATGTGCAAAAAGTAAGCCCTTACACATTTAGATTTCTGTGAGCAGGGTTTCTATTACTTGCAGCCACATGCAGTCTTCACTGATACACTATTAAAACTCTTTTCAAATGAAATCTCTTGCAAAACCCCAATATTTGAAACAAACAAGGGTAACTGGACTCCATTAGAAATGCAGATGGTGTGTTTCCATGACTGTTCCTCCCCAGATTCCTGAAGGAGTTCTTTCCATGGAACCAGAACTGGCCGGGATAAGCAATGCATCAGGGCTCCTCAGATCTTCTCAGGCATCTGAGAGTTTTCTAGCAACTTTGTTTTCGTGTTTTTCTTTCATTTTATTTTTACGTGTATATTTTACTTATGCAAATTCTGTCCTAGAAAATGCAGATCCAGAGCCAGCCCTGATGGCTTAGTGGTTAACGTTTGGGGTGCTCCACATCGGCGGCCTAGGTTTGGTTCCCGGGCACACAACCATACAACTTGTCTGTCAGTAGCCATGCTGTGGTGGCAGCTCACAAAGAAGGCCTTATAACTAGAATATACAACTATGTGCTGGGGCTTTGGGGAGGAGAAAAAGCGAGCAGGAGATTGGCAACAGATGTTAGCTCAGGGCAAATTTTTCTCAGCAAAAAAAATAAAATAAAATAAAAAATAAAAACATATATATACAACAAAAAGAAAATGTAGATCCAATTCATAACCAACAGCCACTACCACACAGTTTTGGTGCCTGCGTTTGTTTTCAGTGTACAATCATGTGGGCAACAAACGATTCCATTTTGTCAAGAATAATGAGAAAGGAAGAGAGTATGACATAACACCAATGGCACATTCCTTCCAGGGTGCAGGTCAAATGACATCATGACATACAAGTGAAAGTAGATCTGAAGAGAAAAAGTCATGGAAGAATTAACCGTCCATTCAGGATACAGGAGTATGAGTGTGTCAAAAACAAAATAATCTCTAGATACCTGTCATGTTCATGTTCTTGTCCACGGTGTAAGCCTTCTTAAATTCCAGTAAAATTTTCTATGTAAGAAACCAAAGTTGATAATCTGGATATTACTGTTACGTAGTTTTCTTTGTATTTAATTCATAAATTTGTTTTAGTGTTATAGCTGTTCAACAATGATTAAAATGGAGAGATAATATCTAGGTGGGTCTTTTTCATTTGTACATATTTAAAGAACAGTATAATAAAAATAATTAAATTAACTATGGAGGCATGGATCTTTTTTTCCCCTCCTGTTAAAAGGAGTCTCTATATTACACAAACTCAAGAAATTCTGAACTACAGGATGGTCCAAATCCCTTCCACATGGTCACATCCATGATTCTATTAACTTCCTTATCATATGAAACCAATATTAAACACTTTCACCAACAATGTGGTACATGCTCTTGGAGATGGTTTTTTAAATAAATAGTTAAAATTAAAGAAACTCATTTATTAAAATAAAGTATATAAAACATTTTATATTCCCTTTCAGAAGTTTGTCTTCATAATAAAGTTTCCACGGGCATGGCCTTGGACAAGTTTTCCTCACTGTGATCATTCGCCCAACTCCACCTGGTCCCTTCACTCAACACCTCCAGCAGGAGTATCTTAGGACAGAGCAAATACGGGTTAAAAATAAGGCCTTAAGAGCCTGCCTCCTCCTTGCTTAAGAAATCTGAACCCTCGGGTGATGCCATTCTTACAAAATGTGCTTTCTGATTGCTTCCAGAAGGCACAGGAGGGCAGACTGACCATGGGGTCTCCTATTTCGAAGAGGGTAAAACAACTCTCCTTTTTGAAGCCACGGTTTATCCACACACTTCAAGTCAAACAAATCAGTGCCTGCTGGTTTTCACAGCTTCTAGAATGTGGTTTCATTCCTGTGCGCAGATCTCTTCCCTCTGTCCTCGCTGCCCGGTTTTTGGTGTGGCCCCTCCTCTCTCCTCGTTGCCTGCACCTCTGCCCTGGATTTCTTCCATCCAGGATAGAGTCTACTCTCCATAATTTTTTTCCTTTTCAAATGCCAAGGGAGCTTGATTTTTGCTCCTTTACTTGTAAAAGAAGGAAAGTATAGAGTTTCCTCCAAGTTTTAGACACTGCTGTTCCTAATCCTGCAACCGAGAGTTGCTATTTCATGCCTGTTCTTCTCAACGCTTGATGAGCAGCACTAAATTTAGAGGAGGATGACGTTAGAGCTCACTTGAGTCTCCTTTTTCACTGGCAGTGGGCTTGGCTAGGGTTCATGTTGGTTCCTAATCTGTCTTGGCATTTTGTTCACTCAGTAGGCGCTTATGAAAAAAAGTGTAGCCACTGTTTCTCCTGATTTCCAGCTGCCCTCCCTTTTTTGTCTCACATCCTTCAGTTCCCAAACCCTCCCCATCCGAACCCAACACAAACATGAGGTTGATGAAGACAATATTTGTGAGCCCTGTCTTAGAATATGAAATCCTGCTGCCAGCCATTTCCCAATTTCCTCCTCCAAGTGCAAAACTGTAGAGAAAATAAAATTGCTGGCTGAAAGTCCTGACTTTCCACCAATAGGACACAATGTCTGCCCACTCATCCTAGATCTTACACAGAGAAAGATATGAAAAACTCCAGCCCTCCACTCTTCATTCTCCCATTAACCTTACTCTCTACCATTAATGATTTGTTGAAAGATTTTTAGCACTGAAGTAAACACATACCTGTTTTTATAGAGGTCCACCCTGAGAGGTCTAGCCACTCTTATGCCATTCTACCAATATCCAAGAATCCATTCATTCATCTATTTCCCCAACCAGACTCTTGGCTGAGCCCTTTTTGGAAAACACCATTGCTGTCATTGTTTGTTCTGCCAGTAATCACAAAGCTGTAGTAAGATTTAGTCCAGCTCTTTCTGAGTTGAACTAGTTTCTTAAATGCAATTACATTGTATTGTGTATTTTCTAAATGCTAAGCATAGAATAAGATATATCCTTCTAAGGGGGGCTAAAAATCTACATTGCATTATAGCTGATATGTATAGGAAGAATTATTTAAAATTTGAATTTTTTAAAAAAGCACTCTTCAGTAAACTATAAAATAAAATCAATTGATCAATGAAATAAAATTCACACCATCATGTCTCTGTCTTTCAACAATGATTTTGAGAAAACTGCCATTTTCTGTTCCTCCTTAGTTGTTTGTATTTTATAAAATACAGAACTATTTTGTGAGAGTAAAATTGCCAGTGACTTCTTCAACTCAGAAAAATTGAAAATTATTGTAGAAATAGAATTACAAATGTTGATCTAGCGTATTTCTAGGCAAATATATCAGTAGGCTCTTTAATGACAGTCAAAATCCCATATAATAATAAAAGATGCCAGGAACTCATACACACATTTCTGCTCCTACACTCTGAAAGTGTAATCCAAAATAGAAACTACAAACTCTGATTCCCTCCTAAAATGAGAGCCATTTTCTGCTAAAAATGTGCCTCTCAAAACTCTCATGAAGCAAAGAGCACAGATAATTTCATCCAAAATTATCTTTCCTGCCAATGAACTGTCCTTCTATGCAGAAAAGTTACAGAAGGTTGGAGCAGAGTGACAGTATAAGCATTCACATACTTTCCTTTTTCACAATCGTGTTGCCAGCTAAATCCTAACTTTCACAAGTGTCTCTGCCTTGCTGAAATCAGATCTCAAAGGGGCTTGGGGAAAGAAAAGATTCCAACTCCACACCAAATGTTTAAGTGATGGAGTTCTAACTTGTTCACACATACACACAGAAAGCTCAGAGTACTTGCAAACAAACAGCAGGTTTAGAGAGTGAAGAGAAGCGTGGAAATGCAAGAACTTCACAGCACCCTACCTCTCTTGTCTGCTTCACAAAGCGGCTGATGAAAATCGCCCACAATCCCGGAGTGTGCTGAGAGGCTCTGAAGGAGGCGACCGCTCGGCGGCCGAGTGGGAGCAGGCCCAGCCTGTGTTCAGAAGCTGCCCCAGTCAGATTTTCCAACTGTAGAATTGCAGCCAAGTCCCTGCCCATGCCTGAAGAATTTCCTGAACAGCATTCCCGTTCTTTTTCTGACTGCTTTGAAACCGTACTCTGTCTGTATTTCAATACGGCTTTGTCAGGCCAACTCAGAGCTACTGGGCTGTCTCCAGCTATCAATGGGAAACACGTGTGTCAAGCACAGACTCGCTCCCCTGCAACAGCGCCTATGGCGTCTGCTGGGCTCGTACTCACAACCACAAAGGAAACCGCTTCTAGAACCAGTTCGGAGTTTTCTGCCATTCTCCGGGCTCTGCTCTCTGGTGCTAGATGCTGGCCATGTCTTCTTTCTTCTGCTCAACACTGCCCCTTGTTAACCTGCTCCATCCACATGCAGTCGCCAGCTGATCCCTGTTAGCCCCCTGAGCTCTCGCCAGTCCTGATAACGAGCCTATTACAGCAAAGAGATGTGAATTCTAATTTGATCTCCCTACCTGCCGTTGCCTCAGTCTTTGCTCAGAGTTTCAATTGCTGGAGGGGGAACAATATTTTTAGCATTTCCAAACTGGCTCAGTACTTCAGAGTTGTTCCCTCATCCCGAGGTGTGCATCTATCCTGCTGCAACTAAAAATAATGCAATTATTTTTCAGGCACTTTTGTTGCTCTCTGTTCTGTAACGGTGCTGGTCCAAAAACGTAACATTTTAGAAGCTTTTGAAATGTGTGTTATGGTTATAGGAAATAGAAAGGAGAAAGGAATGTGCATTTAATCAGAATGTGTCCTAATTCTGTGCACCTGTGATTATTTCTGGATGACACTCCATCAAAATGTCCTGTGTACATTCTGCTGGATTTGGTGGCCTACCTTTGACATTTCTTCTTTCCGTAAAACAAGAGGAAATCTCTAAAGATACAAAGAGGACAGCCCTCTTCTCCCACAATGAAAACCCCACATCTAAAGAGCCAAAGCTAAGTTGTCAAGGTAACATTGTAGAAAAGAGATGATTTAAAAAGAGCCTCATTTGTTTTGAGTTTTTTCTTTTTCTTTTTTGGTATTAATATTTTACTTCCTAAAGTCACACCCCATTAGCAATTTATTTTAAAGGACAGGCTTGCCAGATTTTAAAGTGTTGTGTATTCCTGAGGGGGTGCTGTAAATAATAGGATTTGGTGGGGTCTTGAGTTTAGCATCAAATCACAATGGGCACTCTGAGCAGGATTAGATTTTTGCCTTGGGAAGCACTGTGCATATGTGTGTTGGGGGAGGGGAGCATGTGCACCTCTAAGGTCAGGATGCAATTACAGATTCAGAGAACTTCAGAGTTGGAAGGAACCCCAGAGACCATCCAATCTAAATCGTTTCTACCCTTCATTTTATACAGAGAAATGGAGGCCCAGACAGCTGCAATGACTCGTCCAGTGTTGCAAAGACAGTTAATGCCAGAGGTAAGACTAGAAAACTGGATTTGTTTGTAATTTTCCATGTGCTTTCTCTATCCAGCATCATTTGGGAAAGGCGATATCATCTAACCTTCACAAAAGCAGGCTTGTAATCAGTTGTCCTGGGTCTAATCTTAGTTCTGTCTCTTACTGGCTGTGAATCCTGGTCAGCTTGCTTATATTCTCTGGACCTCAGTTTCCTCATCTGTAAAATGGAGACATTAATGGAATCTACCTCATGGAGTTGTTGAGGATTCAGTGAGATAATCCGTGTAAAGCGTTTACTACAGGGCCTATAAATAAATTTCAGTTTAGTTTTCTTTTAATGGAGCAAAACCAAGACCCTTTCTCTTACCTAAAAGCAAAATTGCATTCTCACATCTAGCTTGAGTTCCTAAACTGTTTGATTGGCTAGTTATGTTTTCTGCCATCTTACCTTGATGTAACAGGGGCCTATCATCTTAAACACAGGCAAGTGTCCTAATGCCTTGTAGGAACACTAAGCCAACTATATGGCTACTTTTCACTTATTCCCTAATATAACATTGGAGTCTTTCCTCAAGATTAACTCATGGGAAAGGAACACAGTGAGACCAAATCTGCAGTCAGTTACACGAGGCTGAACAAAGCGCCATTTGCAGACGACTAGACTTCCTCTCCAAACCTGAGCTCCTCAAGAAAGATTACCATTCTAAAAGAAGGAGACCATTAACAACTGCAAATCCCACATTTGATATCTTCAACGTCCTAAATTAATAACAACAACAACAAAAACAAAATAAAGTCCTATAAATTGAGGAAGAAATATTACTACAGAAACAACAAATTCTAAAGAATCAGATTTCTACTTGGGGTTCCAGAACCTTTGTCTTAGGGCCAATAGTAGCGAGCAGTTGACGAAGCACTCACTACTTAATAATCACGTTTAGTGGGCCCAGGTACTCTTGGGGAAACAAAAGAGTAGCAGGAGTTAATTTTGAGTGGTTTACAAACATTTTAGTAATCAATTAAAAAAGCAAACAAACATAAAACAACTGAAAAACCATTCTCAGACTTACAGAAATACAGAACGATGGTGATATGGTCCAAACGATGCAGCCCCAAAATCTCCCCAAATACTTGCCTCACGGCTCATTTCAGTGTATGTGTAGAGAGACCTCAGTCTGAGACCCAGCTTCATTACTACTAGCTAGAAAATCCTGAAAAGTTACTTAACTCTTGTAATGTTAGGAAAAATTATCCAAAACTTGAAAATAAGGCCAAAGGTAGTCATGCTCTTTCACAATCACATGTGGCAATTATTTAACATGCCCTCTCAAGAATTACTGAAGGGAAACGTGCTTTGTTCCATTCACTGTTTACTACTGAATAAAGGTGCCAAATTTAGTCAAGTTGCACGTTACCTTGGAGACTTCTGTTTCTTAAAGACACAAATTCTCTCCAGTAGAAAAAATGATCGCAAATGTGATGGTTTATTGCCATATAAGACATGAACCAGTTTTGCATGTAAATCTGGCAATCTTGTCCTAACATTGCTTTATTAAGGCACCTGTGAACTAGGAGCTCCTCCTTGGAGCTGGTCTTACCATCATTCTCGTTCCCTCGTTAATGAGTCAGATAAAATCTTGGAAGTATTGTCACTTTATATTTATAGGAATCATGCTTTTAACTTAAAAATTATAGTCTGATAACTTTCATTTTCCTCATCTGTGTGATGAGTGTTATAAGTCTTATGTGATGTAATGCGTAATAAAGCACTTAGCAAAGTGTATGGCACATAGTAACCGCTCAAACTGTGCAAGCACTGCTTTTATTTATTGCTATAATATTTGGTTTTCAGTTTTGTAAAGGACTCTAGAGATTGCTAGGCTAGATAACTCATCAGTGTCCTGTTAATTAAAAGGTCTCCTGTTATACCTTTTAATCCTTGCCATTGGATTCTGAATTTCTTCCACAATGGCCACTCCAGTGGAATTCTTCCACCTCTTTGCTTTTCAGAGATTTCTGCTTTTTCGTGTGTGTGTGTGAGGAAGATTGGCCCTGAGCTAACATCTGTTGTCAATCTTCCTCTTTTTGCTTGAGGAAGGTTGTCACTGAGCTAACATCTGTGCCAATCTTCCTCCACTCTATGTGGAACACTGACACAGCTTGGCTTGACAAGCAGCGTTAGGTCCGCACCAGGGAACTGAAGCTGCGAACCCCAGGCTGCCAAAGCAGAGTGCATGAACTTAACCACTATGCAACCAGGTCAGCCCCAGAGATTTCTACTTTTAATGTTCTAAAATTAACAACTAAAATACACACATACAGACTCTATAGCTGCTAATCATAAAAGTCAGTTAAAAATTTCGACCTTAAGGATCATGCGAACAAGAAAACTTCATTCTATAGTAGAATATAACTCCATGAGGACCAGGGTTTTTGTCCACACCATCTCCTGCCATTTTTCCAACATCAAGGATTGTATATAGTTGGCCCTCATATTTATCCTTTGAATAAATCACACACTTTGACTTACTTGAAAATAGGGGTCCTAAATCATCCTTCCTTAAGAATTATTTTGACCACGGTTTAAACGTATCTCGTACCATTGGGTCATTTCTCCTCTTCATGGCTTAGATGCCTTTTATCTGGTTTGATTTCTTCTAGGAATGTTTTAGTTTGTCTAATTTCCTCTTAAAAAATTTGGTGTTGAGAGGTGAACAAACTTTTCAGGTGTGCTGGGTCTAATTTGTGGGCAGAGGAACAACTCCCTCTCTTATTTAGGAAGTCTACTTCTATTCATGCAATTCATGATCATACTAGGTTTGGGCACTAAGCTTCAGTCATTCTGAGAAGGCAGCTTGGAGAGCCTCTGCATCACAGGTGCCCTTGTTAAGCTACATCTCCTACATGGTTCACATCTGTGATTCTTAAGCCCAGTTTTATGTTAGACTCATCCAGAGGGAGCTTTTAAAATGACTAGATCCAGGGGCCCACCTCAGATATTTTGCTTCTATTAGACTAGGATAAGAAGCAGGTAACAGTATTTTGTTTTGAGTCCCTCCTCCAGATGATTCTAATATGAGACAGACTTAAGAATCACTAAGTTACAGCAATAACTTAAACTTTTAAAACATAAACCTAATTGTGTCCCTCTGTGAACTAAAATCCTTAAGTGGCTCACCGTTGCCTGAAAAGGAAAGACAGCAACCCTCACCACTGCTTGAAAGGCCTGGCTTGATCTGGTCCCTTGTCTACCTCTGCAGTCTCATCTGTCGCCACTCTCCCTTCTTCCAGTTCTTCAAAGAAATCATGTATCTTTCCACTTGAGAATCTTCAAAACAAGCTGTTCTCTGTTTCTGGAAAGATTTTTCTTTTTTGTGGAAGTTACTCTCACTCTCGTGTTTTCATCTGTTTAACACCTATTCAACCTTCAAATTTATACTCCATTATCACTTCCTCTACAATTCAGTTGTCCCTGAACCGCCGGAATGAACACTCCCTGTTCTATGTGCCCCAAGACTAGCACTTATTGTAGATGTGGTTATGTATTTATTTGTATTTTTATCTTATTCATGTCAATCTTTCCTGATAGAAAATGAATATCCTCCAAGAGGACAGAAACCAGGGCTGCTTGCTCACCACCGTATCCTAGTTCCTTGCACCATGCCTAGCTCATGGGGAGGGTGCAATAGTGATTTTTAAAGTAAATGCAGTTATTTTTTAACCCAAGTACAAGAGCATGCATATAACCCCACTTTCTTTATCTTGAGTCTTCAGACTTCGTTTCTTCTTTCTTACATGTTAAAATACATGTATTGTATCCTGAGTTCTCTATGTCATTCACATATTTATCTAAAAGACTTTGTGAGAAATTACCAATTCAAGGGCTTAGC